GACCCGATGCGGCCCCCGGGGGTGCAGCAGGACGGTCCCGGGGTACACGGTCCCACCGCCCTGCGCAGCCCCCGGTGTCTCACCGCTCCGGGCTCCGACAGAGATGATAGAGGGAAGGGAGATGATACGGAATTACTGTGAAACACGGGGAAAAAAAAAAATCTATTGAGTTTATATCTGGCCTGGAGTCAGTTATTTAAACATGCCGTTGAAACCACTATGAGGTCCTTATCAAAGTGTTCCAGCAGGGATGTTTGTACTGGTGATAGTCATTAATTAAGATAAAGTCTGGAAAACTAGCTGGGCAGCAGCTCGATGGCACGAACTGTTCTTCAAGTTATTAAAATACTTAAAAATACTATTAAGCCCAAACTGACCGCTGTTAACAGCAGGGGTGTAAGCAAACGCGGGGTGCTCTTGTCTTGGCAGCTGAGGCTGCCCACCAGGGAGGGAGCTGGGGTGCCTGGGGCAGTGCTGCTCCTCTGCCACCCCGACAGCATCATCCAGCCCAGGATCTGCCACTTCTCCCATCCCAGGCGCCCCGAGATGCTGATTCAGAAGTGCCGTGGGGCAGGTGACATTGGTACCAACGCACTGGAATGCCTGGGCAAGGAATTGCCCCTTCCAGCAGCAATTCACCGCTGGAGAAGCTGAGATTTATCATCAGTCGCTTCCTGCGGTGGCCACAGGCTGGTAGCCAGCTTTAAACTGCTGACCGAGGGAGACTTTTCCTGCAGCCAGAGACTTGGAAGTCAAATGAAAGCCACGCTCATCTCAAGAGCAGGAGCTCCGTCTCAAAAGCAGACCTTTGACACTAGAGTTGCTTAAAATTTTCTTTTCCCCCAAAACCAGTTGGAAAAATTCCCTCTCTCTGTCTTCCCCTTTCTAATTTTTCCCTAAGTCTTTGTGAAATGGGAGTGGTGGGAGAGGGAGATTCTCCCACCAAATTTTCGTGGGGAAAAAAAAAAAAAGAAAGAAAAAACCTCTAGGAAAAAAAAAAAAAAAGTAACACATTTGGCCAGAATGAACCCTCCAGTTTCCCAAATCTCCTTGAAAAATGCAAAAGATCTACAACACTCCAAAACAGAAGAGGTGAGTTATTTATCCAGACACGTGCATTTTGAAGCGATTCTGACCATCTTTCAGTGCTGCTGGTAATTGAAAGAATCCGGTTAACGTGAACCGTAACTCCCATCAGGTCGTTATCTATATTGCACTGATTCACAGAAGCAGAGATCACCTCCCTGGTGTTCGGTGTAGACACACACGCGTGGTCGCAGCCCTTGTTTGGGGAGGATTTCTAGAGGCTTTATGGTCTAAACAGGACGGATGGAGGCTGGGAACGGGCCAGACTGTGCGAGCAGGTTGGTCAAGTTGTGTAAAATACCTCGTTGGATGGACTCAGATCAGTTTGGTGGACAGTTTTTGAATGGCGTATGCAGATAAATAGCTCTCAACATTTCCAAGTAATGTGTTATTGCCATGGTGGCAAGGTTTTATCAAGTGGGGGAAGTGACATGGGTTCTCCTTTCATGATCCAACAAAAGACATGCCAGGCAGCCTTCCAAGATCTGTCTGCACCGTCAGTGCAAGGAGAGATAAACGGTTATCTTGGCAGGTTTATTTTTCCATCTTTGTTCATGCTGCTTCTTATTTTGTCCTCCCTTTTTTCAGCTGGCTTTTCCTTCCTCTTCTACTGTTCTTGCCCTATGTTTTATCCTGCCTCTCCTGCTGCCTTTCCCCAACTTTTCTGCAGCTTTCCAGTGGCTTTTCTGCAGGTTTCCAACCCCTCCTCTTCCAAGAACAACACTTGGGGATTTCTGTTTGGGGCTTGAAAAAGCCCTTGTGTTTATGTAGCAGATCTAGACATTTAGATAGCAGCTTTTTATGGAGATCTTGACATGCTAAAGCAGGACTCCTCGGGCAGTAGATGTGTTTTAGCATCTCTGGTTTAACTGGGGGAAGACCGAAGCACTGAGAAGACAAATCTGTTGCTGGAGGTTGCACACAAAGGCAGGTCCAGCAGTAGACATGGGGATCCCATTTTGGATGGTGCCTCCAGGAGAGAAATACAACATGGAAAAGTCGGTGTGTCCCGAGAAGCAAATGACTCCTGAAATCACTCTGCATCTCCCAGCCTTTGGCTACGTCTGAAGACAAGGGATTACTATAACCGTTTCTTTAAGCTCCAGAGATAAAAGGAGTTGTACCACCGCCACAAGCTGGTCTCCAGTCGCCTGACTGTGCTCTTTGCCCGGAGCCAGCGGTCACGTTGTTTTTCTGAGCCCTGTGCCCTGATCTTTTGTCAACACAATGTTGCAGCTTTGGTTGGTTGCATTCTTTTCTTCTTTTTTTTTGAGGGGGGTGGTTGTTTTTTTATTTTTTTATTGTACAAGTTTCTCACCCTGGTTTTAATCATGCTGAGAACTTTTTTCACATGGAAAATGTAAGTAAGACACGCGTTTTGTTGCTGGCTGAACCACGTATGCCCTTAGATCAGTGTGCAAAGCACGCGTGCACTCCAGTATTACATTTTCCCACCGCCTCCACCTGGACTTAACAACTTTTTCCAGCTCATACGAGTTGCTGAAATCTAATTTCATCTTTGCTTTTGCCGAAAGCAAGAAATTAAGAGAGGGAATAAACCCAGAGCCGCGCTTGCTGAACACCACTTTGTTGCCATCTGCGGCTCTGCGGAGGGAGTTTGTGCACAGGAGGCTGACAGGAAACCAGCAGCTTTCCCAGGAAAAAAAAAAAAGCCCTGTGTCCTCTATGCTGCTCTCGTTGGCTGTTAGCTAGTGGCTTGGAAAAAAACAAAAACCTCCTCTAAACCCCAAAGCTACTTTTGACAGCGACAAATCATTAGCTTGGAGCCGATCTGCAACACGACAAAATCAACTAGAGGAAGGAGGGAAAAAAAAAAAAACCAACCAAACCTCTCTCTTGGTTTGGCTGGCTAAACCTAAGCATGTTAGATTTTCAAGGGAAGGAGAAATTGTTGAGAAAAACAGAGAGAGAAGTGAGAGGACTGTTAAACCAGGTTAAAAATAACTACCTGGGTATTATCTCCTGGCGCAGGAGTGTCTGCGAGACTGTGGTGTTTACGCCACCACGTCAGTCAGGCTGTGGTTGTGTTGGAGACTACTGTAAATTAAAGCTATAGGCAGGTAAACTGGGAAAGAGGTTTCCAAAACGGGGCTGCTCCCAGGGGGCTGGGAATGGGTGATGAGGAGGGAGACGTCCCCAGGCTGTGGTGTGGCAGGCGACCAGGCATGGGGTGGGCAGGGGGTACACCACAGGCACTGGCTGCCTGTACTGGGAGGTGGCCCCAGGCTTGGGCTGCTGGGTGCCCCTGGTTTGGGTCTGGTGGCCTTCCAGTGTGGCTGGAGCTGGGTACCACCACGGGGGCTCAGCCCCATCCTGCTCTGGGGTTCTTGCAGGGGCAGGTGAATGTCCGTGCCTGGTGTGAGTGAGCGGGCTGGGGGGCACTGGAGGTGGCTCCAGCTGATGTACCCTCCGTGTGTCTCCCACAGAGCTCTTTCCAGCCTCTTTTTACAGAAGAGAGCTGAGGTAGAGATGCCCTGGGTGTGGGTGGCATGCCCCACCACCGATACCTGCACCCACCTTGGCCATGGTGCAGCTTTGATGCAGAGCAGGAGCTGCAGCTCCCAGGTCTTCTCCCACTTCCAATTCCAGTTATGGAAAACACCCACAAACCTCAGAGATGGCTTGGCCAAGAGCTGTTGCTGGGACAGACTGTTCGTAGTCTTGCTGTCTAACACAGCTCTCTTGCCACCTGAAAATACCCAATGGTCGAAGGGGGCACTAAACTGTAATCTAATTGATAACCTAAACTCCAGCAAGTCCATTTTAACAGTGACCTGCAGTGTCTGCAGACAGACAGACCTGCGGACTGGGAAAAGGAGGGAGACAAGTCAAGAGAAATAAAGTAGAATAAATATTTGCTCTGTGGCATCTACCAGAGAAATTCCTCCAGCAGGAAAACAGACTGCAAATAAAGATACCCTATGCTCTCCTTCTGCTGAGGGATGGCTCGGCTTGGTTTTATCCCTTTGGGACTCTCAGGCATCCTTGAAAATCAATCGTAACCACCATGCCCTAGATGGGGGACCCGTTTGGTTGGTGGGAGCGGGGTCCTGGGGTATCACTGGATGCTTCGAAGCAAAGCTGTGAGCACCCAGTGCCTGGAGGAGGAGAACCCAGGGACATCAGGCAGGGTTGCTCAAATACAGAGCTGTTGGCACACAAAAAGCCACACGGGAAGAGTCATTAGGGCTTGAGCTAATTATAGTCTGTCTGGGTGGTGGCTGGAGGCTTATGAAATAGGAAGTGTTTTCTAGCTGCATGGCTGCTTTGCTCGGTAAAGAAGGTCTTGGTGATACGCAGAAGGGGATGCACCTGCAGTGCCCTTTTCTTGTAGGCAGACAGGCGTGGCAGGTCAGGAGAGCACAGGCCGGGCTGCCAGGAGCCACCCCCATCACATGGCACCCAGTAAGTCAGTTAGGTGGCTCTGGACAAGCTCTGGGGATTCACCTGCTGATGGTTTGGAGGTGGCTCCCCCCTCTCACAGGACGTTTCTGCTCCATGTAGCCAGGGCTCGGTCAGGGCTGGCACAGGGTTGTGGGGAGACACTTGGTCTGGCTGTGTGACACGATGACACCAACAGCTGTGACGTCCTTAGTTTAGATGTGCCTTACTCTGACTCACTTTGGTTATCTCCAGCACAGATTATCTCTACCTCCCTCATCACGCAAGCCATTCCATTTGATTTGTTAACGCTGGTAAAATCCGCTGGTGCCTGGTGTTACCTACAAAAGCCATTGTTTGATTTGTCGTTATTCCGTAGAATTTGAAGGAGAGTTTTATTTTTTTCCCGTTGTACTAGTCGAGGTTTCTCCTGTAACCTTTGCTGTTGTTGTTTTGCGCCGAGCAGAACATTGACTCATCGGCAGCCTCTGTGATAACTATAATTAGGAGAAAATGCATTTACAAAGCTCTTTCCTCTGATGCAAGCACATCATTGCCCTTGCAGAGAAATAATTCTTGCCGTGCTTTCAGGTGGGTGTGGGCAGCTAGTGATTACATTCGACACTCATATTATTTGAGTGGATTTTCCTAGCTGGATATGCTACCTACGGAGCAAGTGGTAGTCTGAAGCTGTCTTTATACTCCCCACATGTTTTGAGCGTAAGCCTCTACCGATGCATTTAAATATATAGGAAAAGAATATAAATGCATAGAATGGAGTAGTAACCGAAGAGAGCACTGAGAAATGTGTCGTATACCTGGAGACTTATTTAGTGCTTTTGAAAAAGAACAGAAGTCAAGAGAAAAATATGCACTGGAGTTTTGTCAAAACATCAGCTGGGGAGGAGGCTTGTTGGGAGGAAGGCTCTGCTTGGCAGCCCCTTCCCACTGCTGTCGGAGCTGGGCTGTGAACGGTGTCGTGCTTTAGCAGGGAGCCACGCGGTGCTTTGTGCCCGGTGCTCAGGCGGGTCACACTTGTTGCCTGCATAGTCCGGCACTGCTGCAGCCTGGCTGCCTTCCCCCCCCCCCATCACCCCCAAATCCCCTTACGTGTCCCTGGCGCAGGGGCTGGGGGCTTGGGTGACTCTGCCCACCTCATCGGGGCAAGAAGAAGGGCTGGGAGCTCACAGCATCCCCTCTGCCCTGGAGCCGGAGCTGCTCTGCAGCCTGCTCGCTGCTGTTTGGAGTTCAGTCCATCAGCACCAAAGCGTGCTCCCCCCACCTGCACCTTCCTCCGAGCCCGGCACCGCTGCTCATGGGCTTTGCTTTTCCTAGTGGCAAACACCTGCGGAAGGGAACAGACCTCAGCAATATTATAAGGAGAAGTGGAGTAAAGACTAGTTGAGCTGCACAGGGCTTTTTCTCTCCGTCTTACCTCTTGCACAGCCTGTCCTGGTTTTGGCTGGGATAGTTAATTCTCTTCCCAGTAGCTGGTACAGTGCTGTGTTTTGAGTTTAGTGTGAGAATAAAGTTGATAACAGTGATGGTTTAATTGTTGCTAAGCTTATCCCAAGTCAAGGACTTTTCAGTTTCCCGTGTTCTGCCAGCCAAGGGGTGCACAAGAAGTGGGAGGGAGCGTGTCCAGGACAGCTGACCCCAGCTAGCCAAAGGGCTATTCCGTACCGTAGAGCGTCATGCCCAGTATATGAACTGGGGGGAGCTGGCGGGGGGGCAGATCACTGCTTGGGCATCAGTCAGCGGGCGGTGAGCAATTGCATTGTGCATCACTTGGGTTTTCTTGGGTTTTATTTATCTCTTTTTTATTATATTCCTTTTCATTACCACTACTTTAATAATATTATTTTTATATTTAATTTAAATTTTGTTATTAAACTGTTCTTACCTCAACCCACAAGTTTCTATTTTTTTTGATTCTCCTCCGTACTCCCAAGCGGCTGCGTGGTGCTTAGTTGCTGGTTGGAGTTAAGCCACGACAACAGCTGTACAGGGTTTAGGGCCAAGGAAGAACCATCGGTCCAATATCCCCTTAAAATGCTGCTGTGCTCATCAGAATAACTGCCAGGAGAAGAGGCACTGCTCAGCCCTGCTCCAGAGAGTGAGAAAGGCCAACGGCATCCTGGCTTGCATCAGCACCAGCGTGGCCAGCAGGGACAGGGAAGGGATCTGAGCCCTGGGCTGGGCACTGCTGAGGTCACACCTTGATTCCTGGGTTCAGTTCTGGGCCCCTCACCCCAAAAAGGCCATTGAGTGACTCGAGCGTGGCCAGAGAAGGGCAACGGAGCTGGGGCAGGGTCTGGAGCACAGGTCTGCTGGGGAGCGGCTGGGGGAACTGGGGGGGTTCAGTCTGGAGAAGAGGAGGCTGAGGGGAGACCTCCTGGCCCTCGGCAACTCCCTGCCAGGAGGGGGCAGAGAGGGGGGATGAGTCTCTGGAGCCAAGGCCCCAGCGCCAGGCCCCGAGGGAATGGCCTCAAGCTGCCCAGGGCAGGGTCAGGCTGGCTCTGAGGAAGGATTTCTGTGCAGAAGGGGCTGTTGGGCGTTGGAATGGGCTGCCCAGGGCAGGGGGGAGTCCCCGGGATCCCTGGAGGGGTTGAAGAGTCGGGCTGAGCCAGCGCTGAGGGATCTGGGGGAGTTGGGAACGGTCAGGGGGAGGGTCATGGTGGGGCTGGAGGAGCTGCAGGGGCTTTTCCAACCCGGATGATTCTGTGTGATTCTGTGAAAGCTCATAAAGATTTCCCTTCGCTTTGGGGGGAAAAGCACAATTTAGAAATCTATTCTAAATAATAGGAAATACCTACGCACATGGCAGGCTGCTGCGTTTTACATGGTCACCTCGATTGTTGCAGGTTCAATAGCTCAAATTAATCAGGGCTGTGCCGCTGTGGATAAACAGGAGATTACAGCACCAGACTGGCAACAGCCCATTTCTGGGGGTGCAGAAGCACTGGTTAGGCAGACACGGTTTAGTCACTTGTACCTGCAAGCAGCTGATCTTGGATTGTCTTGGGTCAACCCTCTGAGGGCTCTCTGGAACATTTTCCATCCCCAGTTACCCCCCACCTGCCCTCTGCCTCTGATGGGTGATTTATACCCAAAAACTCCTGCCCATATCATCCCGTTGGGGTTGGTCTGGCCCGGACACGACCTTTGGTTTCGCCGTACAAGCTGAATTTTGTGGAGCTGCTGCTGCCAGAGCTGGCTGGGACAGGTGATTAAAAAAAAAAAAAAATCACCTTTGATTTTGCAGCAAAGCAAAGTAAGATTGCGGCATATCTTCCTCTCAGCGTAAGACTAGGAAGGACTCTGAGAGCCTTTACCAGCTAGTTATGGCTAAGGCAGGTCAACCCTTGGTTAGTTATCCCTGCAGCAAAGATATGTGAGGTTTTCTAGTTCCTCTGTTATTTTGTAGGTTTGTACGTGTGCACCGTAAAGACGGTTCCACCACCTGAAACACCTCCAGTTCCTTCTGCCAGGGGTTGGCACTGATCTGCTTATCTGCCTCGTTGGGAAACAGCAATAAATTCACCTCCAGCGGGCACAGCTGCCCGGTGTTCCTCACTTTTCATTGTTCCTTCACCTCCCTCTGTGACGGACCAGTTGACACATTTATAAATGGTTTTGTGCTCTGCGGCGTTAACCTACATTTATCATAATTCCAGTGCAGAGAAATAAATGCTCAGTTCGATATAAAGGGTGACCCAGGTCGTTTCCCGTGCAGAGATGTTTAGCAGGGTGGAAAGCACAGAGGTTAATGCCCTGGTACGGTGCATTCCCCAGTCATCTCTGGAGCAGAGAGAGTCTGTTTGCTCAGTGCTTTGTGCCCTGGCCTCTGGGCGTAAAAATAACCAAGATACAAATAATACAAATAGTGGGTGTTCTTACTAAGCTTTTAACTCTGTAATTTGCAGGCAAAGGGGGACCCAGGTTGACGTTAGCGGGGCTGTGGGAGGGCAGAGTTGTTCACCTGCGCCTGGGGCCTGATGCAGTTTGCAGCAAAACGTGGGTCTGTGCTCCAGAAGCACATCGCTGACTGAGAGCAGGACAAAGTTGCCTTCCCGCTGATTTCCAGCCTGTGTCTTCTGCAGGAGCACTTTTCTTGGGGCTGAGCCCTCATGTACCAAAGCATATATTCTGTTAACGTATTGTTACTCATATTATCTTAAACTTCTTATCAGGCCAGGCTGGATTATCTTGCTCCTCTCTCTGGGATATTCAGCCACATCATATCTTGTTTCTCCCTAAGGATTCCTCCATCTCCCTCTTATTTCGGAAGGATAAACCACACACCACCTCCCTTGGGGAACGGGTAGGAATGCCAAATGTTTGCTACCAAGATGGTGTGTCTCAAGTAAATGCTTCTAACCTCATGCACTGACCTTTCCTTTGTTATCCTTATCTTTTAGAGAACAGTTTCTAAAGATTTTGTTTGGGGGAAAAGCAAACCGACCAGGCTTCCCTCCACCTTTCCCTCCATCCACAGTCAGCAGTGCCTCAGCAGCCTGTTCCACCTTGCAGACATTATTTCGCTGCTGGGGTCAAATAGTGTCTGGGATGAAAGTTGGCATCATCCATAAAAGCCCCGCTCCGTGTCAGAACCACTGTGCCGCGGGGGGATTGCGCTGACCTTTATCAAGACAGACTTCAGCTCGCAAGCAAACCAGTCTGACCTGTAAATCCTCGCTGTGCAGGGACCTACCAGGCAGACCCTTCTGTGTGCCCTGTCCCCATGTGTCCTCTCCATCCTCGCAGGCCCGAGTCCCGCATCTGGACGGTGATGTTGCTGCTGGGGACGTGCCTGCTGTACTGCGCCCGCGTCACCGTGCCCATCTGCGCCGTCGCCCTGAGCACCCACTTCAGCTGGGACAAGAAGCAGTCCGGCATAGTGCTCAGCAGCTTCTTCTGGGGCTACTGCTTGACACAGATTATCGGAGGGCATATCAGTGATAAGTACTGGAAATAATTATATTTTCCTCCACTCGGGCGTTTTTAATGACACTCAGCTTGGTTTTGACCTCTCGGTGCCAGTTTTGACGGTGGCTGTGCCAAGTTTCACCCTGGGACAGTGATGGGGTGGAAGGGTGAAGCGTGTCCTTGGGGAGAAGCTTTATGGAGCGCTGGAGGTTGCTCTAGAAGCAGTTGAGGTCTCTCCATCTGCCTCACGCAGGGTCTGTCGTTCCGATTCAGAAAGTTTGGGCTGTCCATGTAGATTCCTGGGTCTAGAAACTGCTGCTGTGCTTATGGGGCAGTTTCGCTGAAGGAACTTGCACGAGCAAAATCCCCAGCAAACACAGGGACTGTCTGCACAGTCATTACTGCCGGGACAGATCCTGCAGAGCAGCCAGGAGAGAACTACAGTCATGTTAATGGACACTGAGACCAACTTAGGGTTTTTTTTTTTTCACCTGGAAACAGTGAAGAGTAATTTTATACCAGCATAATTTTTTCTGATGGAGGTTGTTTTTAGCACTGGTTCAGTAATTGGAATAAAAAAAGCAAACTCACAAGCTTACATGTTAAGCCGATTAAAGAAATAGTGGGTGTAAAGCAGACTTTATTTCAGAAAAGTGATAAATGCTGATATGCTTTGCAGAGTTCATAGCTCCTGCTCACCAGGAGTGTTACTTGGCCGTTAACAGTTTATTCCCAGCAGTGCCGGACAGCCCTTTGGAAGGATTTATAGCTGCAATCACTAACCACAAGAAGAAAATAATTTCCATTTTGCAAGGAATACAGCTTTTTTCTATCTGATCTGCATAGTCTATCTTTGTTTTCAGTTCAGCACCTCCGCGTTTTTTCCACCCTGTATTCTCATGCAGTCTTTTCACAAGCAAGGCCCCATCAGTTTCCATCATGTTTGGAAAACCCCAAGTGTCTCCATTTTATCATATCAATTAAAAAACAACTTCCCCAGCTAGCTCTAAGGAAAGATCTGAGTAATTACCTGCTCAATTTCCTTTCCCCAGCCACCCTGTTCTTAGTGAGGAGGGCTTTCCTATGAAATCTTTTGAGGGGAGCACATGCCTGGAAGGAGTACATTATCCATGCAGTGCACTACGCTATTTAATTATGTTCCTTAATAGTTTGCAAGCAAACGCCTGCAAAAATCCAAACGTTAACAGGCAGAGCTGTTGCAGAAGAGCAGATGGAAGAGGAAACACTGTCACTGGTTAAAAGCAGAATGGGGAGAGCAGCTTGGGCTTCCCCTCTGTCAGAAACTGGGGTGCATCGCTGTGGTGGTGCCTCACGGCTGGATGGGCAGTGCTGGTGGCCACTGTCCCCGTGAGAGCGATGCCAGTGGCCAGCTGCTCACTGCCAGCTCCAGGGCAGCAGGAGGTGGGAAGGGAGGGGGTCAGAGCTACTCCCCAGAGGGCTAAAGATATTTGTCAGAGAAGAACAGGTTTGTCTGAAAGGTCGCTCTTAAAAACAGGCTAAACTGGGAAGGACACTTGAGTCTTGACTGGAGGACTTTGCCCTTTTGCCCTCCCCTTGTTCCTGATAATGTGTTTTCTGTCTTCCAGAATAGGAGGTGAGAAAGTCCTCCTCCTCTCAGCATCAGCCTGGGGGTTCCTCACGGTCCTCACCCCGCTGCTCACCCACGTCACTTCTGCCCATCTCGTTTTTATGGCCTCCTCCAGGTTCCTCATGGGGTTGCTGCAAGGTGAGGCCCCTGTCCCGAGCACGTGTCTGTGTGTCTGTCTGCCCAGGGGCTTCCTTCCAGGGGGGCTTGTGTGCAGTAAATTCAGGTGCAAGTCATATGGTTTGCAGTGCATGAACCCTTCTCTTGCGTGTTCGAGCAACCCTCTGCCTCAAAACTGCCTTCCACGGGGAAAAAAAAAAGTGACTTTTCTAAAGAAAGTCGCTGACAAATCATTCCCCTGTAGAAATCTCTCTGCCAGACAGGGGCTGCTGGCTTCTGAAACTGTCGCTGGTCTTTGATTTTCCACGTTTTACAACTCTTCAAAGCACTTGGGGAAAATCGTCCCTTCCCAAAAACTTTTGGATAATTTGGGATGATTTTCCCTCCCTCTTGCTGAGCCGCAGCACCGGGGAACCGTTGGGCTAAGCACACTGGCACTGATGGATGTACAATAGCAGCACCGATGGTGAAATGGGATTATGGAGAAGGCGCGAGCCAACCCTTCGTGGTGACGGATTCACTTCCTTTATTTCATATCCCCGCTTTGAATTCACCAAAGGTTTTGTTGCTTTGTCTTGGTGTTTAGCTCCTGCTGGACTTTTTAAATTTGATTTTGATTTGCTCCCGAGGGCACAGGAGCCTGACTGCTCCCTGCCTTGCTGCTCTTGCCCACAGGGGTGTATTTCCCATCCCTGGCCAGCCTGCTGTCCCAGAAGGTCCGGGAGAGCGAGCGAGCCTTCACTTACAGCACAGTGGGGACTGGCTCGCAGTTTGGGTAAGTTGAAAAGGATTCGAGCAGCAAGTGACAGTCTCCGGACATCGTATGTGATGAAATGCCATTAAATAGTTAGAGGCAAAACTCTCAGCCCAAAGTACATGTGGATTCCTGGGTCCTTGAGGATAGCGGCTGCAGCTGAGGAAGCCTCAGGCAGTTGCTGTCGTGCATGTCAAGGATTTATGTTGTTTTTGGTTTTTTTTTCCCCTTTATTTTCATGCCAGACTCTGAAAAGTGTCTTGCAACATTTAATTACTATGGGAAACAGCCTAATTGATTAGGAAGAGCAAGGGTCAGCCCAGGACTGCTCACCCGTCCTCTCTGATAGATGGGGGTAATATAACTTGCCCAATTCTGCTAATCTCCATGAGAATTTCCTTTCTATATGGAAAGGTCGCATAAAAGCCGTGTAGAAATGTAACTGTGCTTAATCACTTAGTTTTCCGGTGTCCTCATTTCTTTTGCTGATTAATACATTCTCTGAGATGCCTTCTGCACACCCGCAGCCTCATTTTCTTTCCCTGACGAGCATCTTTCAGTGTGGGGCAGATGGGCGTGAGGTCCCTTAGTGGTTTCTCCTGCCTGGCTGAGGATCCCCAGGTGCCACGCAGGGAACAGGGCAGGTTGCAGAGCCACGGGGTGACTGGGCAGGTGGGCAGTGCCTGCGCAGGCAGTGACTGATGACTATTTTAAGTGCATTTAGTGACCCGCAGCGTCCACCCTAAGAAGCATCTCCCATTGATGCGTGCAGCCCCAGTGCTCCCAGCCAGACTGGAAATCCCAGTGTGGTTTCCCTTGCAGGACGCTGGTGATTGGTGGTGCAGGTTCTCTCCTCCTCGACTGGTACGGCTGGGAGAGCGTTTTCTACTTCTCTGGTTTGCTCACTTTGCTCTGGGTTTACTGCACCTGCAAGTACCTCCTGAGTGAGAAAGGTAGGTCCAGGCACCCACATCCCTCAGGCTTCCAGCACTGCGGGGCCTGTGGGACCCGGGTGGTGCCTCTCTGTTATTTTCTGCAAATCCTCTGTGTTTCTAAGCTCGTGCCTGGTTTTACACAAAGACCTTTTACTCAGATGTCTTCTATGATACACGCTATGTCTCACCCAAGATGCTAAACCCAGAAACAAGGTTTTGAGCTGTTGCGCTGCTGCTTTTCAAGTCCCACACTGGATTATATTGCTGTTGAAAGCCTGATCTGACTCCTCAGTACTCTTAAGCACCAGTGAAAACACCAAACAGAGCATGATCTTCAAAGTGGATTAAGCTAAAGCAGGGCAAGATATTCCAAACTAAGAGCATCCATACATAGAGCTTTTAAAAACCAGTTAATCCAGAATATCTCTTCCCAAATAACAGTCCGGGAGTAATTCCATACATGGGGAAACCATTACACCTGGCTACAGCATTGTTAGTGCGAGCGTGATATGTAGGAGCCAGGCATGTGCCTGGAGCTGCACAAAACCCAAACCTGGTCCCTGCCTAAGGGGTTTTTGTTTAATTATAACAAGAGATATGACAAGTGGTTGCAGGTAGCTGGATGGCGAACTGTGTGGATGCAGTGGAAAAATTTTGGTCAACAGTAGAAGGTGTTTTCATGAGCATTCAATGGTGGTATAGTCAAAACTCAGAGTTAGAAGGAGATTAAGGTAGTTGTATAGTGGTCTCCCAGGGCTCCCTCCAGCTTCACTTTTCTTTGTATGTTTTCTCCCCCGCAGAACTCATCATCCCCATAGACTATTTAATGAGAGGCCTCTCGATATCCAAGCAGAGCAAAGTTCCCTGGAAGCAGCTGTTTAAGAAGGCACCGATATGGTAGGCAGCTGCAGTGGCCTCGAGGGTCGGCAGGGCTGGGAGAAGCACCCTCCTTCCAAGGGCTTTTCACCTCCCTGGGCTTATTTCTTCCGCTGTGTGTATTTCATCCATTTATTTATTGGGAAATTTTACCAGGTTTTCTAATCCCTTCTGTATAAATAAAGAACTGTACAGGTAAGCGTGACAAAAGGCGGTTTATGTTCTGTCCGGATGAACGTCAGGCTCGAATGTTACTGGCAAATCTTTTCTTCTTTGCAGGCTGTGCCCTGGATGGGTCGTGTGCTCCTCTGGAGTGATATTCTCCACCGGTCTTGTTAGAAATGCTGCTTGTAATGGGCTCCCAAGGAGTGCAGCTCAGGGGCACTGGGTGGCACGGGCTGTGTTCTCACTGCTGGCCAAACACCTTTTTAATAGCCATTTTTTCTCTGAGATGCTGCATTTGGTACTGAAGGTCATCCAAGCACGTTCCCAAGTGTTACCGGGCAAATCTGCTGATAGCAAATCCCTAGAAAACCCTAAACAAGGTCTCTTGGAGCAGGACAGCTCTTGCGGCGCTGGAAGGGACTGGTGGGAGATGCCCTCACACAATTGCTGCTGCAGTTAACCTCTCCCGAACCCAGGGGCTGACGTCAGGCCCCTCCCGGGCGCTGTGCGATGAGGGCAGCGAGGAAGGAGTGGTATTGCCAGTGGGAAGCCAAAAGCAGTAGTTATCGATGAAAAAAAAGGTCTCAGAAAACAATTGCAGCGCTGGGAGGGATTTATTTGTAGACCAGGAACTGAAATATTAAGTTGCTCAAGTGCCTGTTTCCCACCCAGTGTGACCTGTCACTCCTGATTATTTCCTCTCCACTGTGTATTTTCAGGGCTGTCATCATCGCTCAGCTTTCTACAGCCAGCACATTTTTCACTCTTCTCTCCTGGCTGCCAACTTTCTTTAAGGAAACTTTCCCCGAGTCAAAGGTAAGTTGGCTCTGAGGCACAGGCATTGCTGGTCTCTGTGCAGATGAGGTCGTGCTGGGTACCTGCCAAAACAGGTTGGTTGGGGAGGAAGATGATGGCAGAGTGGTTTGATGAGAGCAGGCTGGGAGGCAGGAGGAGGTGGGAGGTTTCCCTGCGGGGTGAGGAGCCGTTTTCCCCCTCTGGAGAGGCAAGCATCTTCCCTCCAGGTAGGCAGAGGCTGGTTTCTAGTTGCTTGTTTAGGGATGCTGAAGGGAGGCAGAGCTGGGGCACCTTCCAGGCAGGGAAGAGAGGTTGCGTTTGGGTTTTAGACTGCTTTTCTTCTGTGGATGGTTTTAAAATGGCATTATGCTGTTGCAAATGCCCACCATTCACTCCTGGGTTTTCATGGGGTTTTTAACTGTACTGACATTATATAGCTCAGACCTGCCTGCAAAAATGATAATTGCCATTAATAACATCTCCAAAAAGACTATAAAAGCTTCCCTCTCCTCAGCACAAATGATGTTCCCATTTTTTCCGAAACCTATGCAATACTCACCTGGGCTGAGAGCTGGCATTTTGATCTTCTTCTCAGAAACTCAGACAATCTTTCCCACAATGGCTCTGTTGGGTTTTTATGATTTCTAGAGCTGCTTAACAAATGCCTTTTCATATTACGTGTGTAAGGTGCTTTATGGCATACTAGATATTTATATTAAAACCATGTATTAAACCAGCAAACATATTGTTGTGACAAGATCTGTGCACCTCGAGTAACGTGCTTGCGCAGCAGTAATTTACCATCTGTTAAGCATTATATCACGGTGCCCTTATGTAAGATGCTCTATATAGCATCCCTGCGTCTGATAATCGCTTCATACATTTTAATAAAACGGGGCTGGAGGATGCTTGATTTTAAAGGATGGATGATAATCCTTAATGTGGGAAACTTATGTCACCTACTGGTCACAGTCCCTTTCTGCAGGTGACCTGCCTTCACCGCTGCCGAAGCAGCTGCCTGCAGCCCACCTGGCTGGAGGTGGTGGAGGGTTTTAGCTCAGGCAGGTCAGGGTGATGGGCTGTAGGGCTGAGCCCAGGCTGGCTCCGTGTGTCAGGATTGACTGGCTGAGCAGCCCCAGCTGGGCTTAACAGACACCAGAGATATCCCCCCGCAAGCCCTGTGGGGTAACACATTCAAAAATGACCAAGACCCAGAGTTTCAAAGCACTGAAAGATGTAGATGGACCCTGGTACCATTTCCAGGAGCAGCTGAAACAGGATTATTCAAAACCAAGATTATTCAGCCCTCCGGTGCATCCTGAAGCCTGGCGAGGAAGGGAGGGATTCCTCCGTGGGGTAACAGGCTCTGAGCGAAGGGGGAGATGTGGGGCACGATGGACGGGTGAGTAGGTTCAACCAGCTGAGATGAAGCCCAGCTCAGCCCGCACTGATTTCAGCTCCTCGTGGGATCTGGGCACCGAAATGCCTCTGAGCAGCTGTAATCCAGATGACCAGTAATCATCTGTGATTACAACTGGAGCAAGCTCGCTTAATTGAAAATAGGCCAAAGTATGTTTGCTACCCGTAATGTTACCTAATCCTGGCATTAGAAAATCCAGCTATGTTCCCTCAGCTTCCCAGTAACGCTGCTAATGAGGTTGAAGCTGATGTCGGAAATGTTGCCGGCAGCTTTACTGATGACCCCACAGGGCAGAGTAAAATCTGCCGCTTGCTTTCCAGGGCTTCCTGCCACCTCACCTTGCCGAACAGTAAACTTTGCCACGTTTAATCCCTCTTTCCCAGAGCAGACAGAGTTTTCTGCCTCTCCCCTGGCTGCAGGGTCACCGGGGCAGAAGGAAAGACAACAAACCTAGAAATGCTACAGCCCCGTGATGCCACTCTACAGAGTGTAGCTGAGAGCTTGGTGTGCCAAGGGAGTAGAGATCATTTGAGAAGCCCTGATCACTTGATTTTATTTTTTTTTCCCCTTTCGACAGATATCACCGACTATCAAATAAAATATTTGCAAACAAACTCAGTTCTGACAGCATTTTTGCTCCCTTTCAGGGTTGGGTGTTTAACGTAGTCCCTTGGCTGGTTGCAATTCCTACAAGCTTGTTCAGTGGATTTCTGTCTGATCATTTAATCAACCAGGGTAAGAGCTCTTTTGGCTTTTCCTCAGCTCCTTAATTTATGTGATGTGGAAGGAGGACCTGGGTGGGAGGAGGTAAGCTTGCTGGCAGGGAAAAGACAACCCAGCAAACAGACAGTGTGAGGTTCTGATACAAAAGCAGGGTAAATACTCCAGGGTCTAAATCCCATCCATGTGTTTGGGACTGCCTTTGATCTCAGCCACAATATCCACCTGGAGATGAAATCTGGCTATCGTCTGAGCAAGGAGACCTGGTGAGCTGTGCTTAACTGCAACTCTTCTTTCTTTTCAAGGGTACAAAACCATCACCATTCGTAAATTCATGCAGGTAAGAGAGCTGAAGCCACAGGAGTGACACTGGAGCTACCTGCTGAGCTCTGCTTGCATGGCAGATTAGACCTGGTATGGAGCTGGGTTGGTGGTTAGAGGTGGGAAGAGGAAAGGGTTTGTAGCTTTGCACATAGACTGGTGGTCAGTGTGGATGGGAAATTAAACCCAGAGGAAAACCCTGACTGGGGAACAGAGCATGGACCAACACCAACATTGAGCACAGAGGTTTGTGATGCTCCCAAGGGGTTTTGTTTCATAGGCAAAGGCCAACCACACGCTGTCACTCGAAATGACCCCTTAGATACTGAGGAAATAGTGACACGAGGGTGAACAGAAAAAAAACCTGCCAGGTGAGAGCACAGTATATTCTTTCTGTTCCGCAGCATCACATGCCTCCGGACAGACCTCCGACACCAAAAGGCAAGACACCAGGGGAAAAAAAAAGGCTTGAGAAGCACCTGGTGCACATGAGCCCTTGCCATTGTAAAAGGGAACAGTTTGTCCATGACGGGAGTTGCTTTCTTCCTTACATAAAATGTGCTGTGGTGTTTAATTTTCCCTTTCTTCCAGGTCATCGGCTCGGGCGTCTCAAGCATTTTTGCCTTGTGCCTGGGCCAGACCTCCAGTTTCTGCAAGGCGATAGTGTTTGCTTCTGCCTCTGTTGGACTTCAGACCTTTAACCACAGGTAACGAGGGTGATAACGACAGTAGCTGTGGGCCTTAGCTCTTGCCCCTCACTTGCCACTTCAGGGTCCAGGAGGAGTCTTCCTCCCTCACGACTGTCAGAGCAAGAGCCTTGCCTGAGCATCGTGTGTTGGTCCGTGCGAGGCCAGTGGAGTTTAGGGGTTGGGAATGATCCAGCAAGCCTCTAGCGTGGGGAAGGGCTTGGACCAGCAGTTATCAGGGACATGAAGCAGGAGGGGAATTGCATTTTGAGATGAATTCTTTTCCTTCTGGTACTCTCCTGTGCTGCTTCACTCTCAGCCTCTTTCCTCCTTTCTCCTGCCAGTGCTTACTGTCCAGGATCCCTTCCTTTTGTTTGATGAACTAAACTCTGTGTAAATGATGAAAAGGCAGTTTGTGCTCCATGAAAACTGCCATTTTCTCCTCTCTGTTTCTCACTAGTGGCATTTCAGTAAACGTACAGGATCTGGCCCCCTCATGTGCTGGCTTACTGTTCGGTAAGGATTCCGTGGGGTTTTGGCTGTGCTGGGAAGGTGGCACGTACGGGAGGGGACACGGTCATCAGCACTAAGGTTTGAGCAGGAGTAGCTCTGTGCAACGTCTACTCCGTATTTGCAGCCTCAGCTTCCCCCTGGGATGTACCTGCCACTGCTGGGGGTGGGTAACAGCACCAACCTGCCTCTCAATCTGCCAGATGCTTCTTACCTGCCCCAAGGGTGGGGACGAGGATGAGTGGCAGGTGTCGCAGCCATCAGCAAGGCATTGCTCTGGGTTTCTAACAGACAATTCCTTCTCTTTCTTTACAGGTGTTGGGAATACAGGTGGAGCCCTCCTAGGTAAAGTAGCTTCCTGCAGCTCAACCTTTCCTGGGGAGTCCTCTCCTCGTGGGTGGGCAGGATCCGGCCCCAGAGCCTCTGCATTTCTCTCTTCTCTTCTCTCCTGCCCCAGGTGTCATTTGTGTGTACTTGGCCGGCTACCTGATCGAAACGACTGGCTCCTGGATTTCTGTTTTTAACCTGGTGGCTGCTGTTAACAGCATTGGCCTCTGTGCATTCCTCATGTTTGGAGAGGCCCAGAGGGTGGACACAGACTCGGCATATATGGACCTCTAGAGATGAGTCCAGCAAGCAGCTGAAGGACAGGAGAGTGTCATGTCTATGTGTCACTGTCGCACAAGTGCCAAAGAACTTTTTTTTTTTGAGGTGTTTAACAGGAAAAAAAAAGATATACTGAGACCAAGTACATAATGGGTCTGTTTGAAACCCATGGGACAAAAGAAATTTAGAGTTCACTTTTTGCTCAGGGCATAGCTGATGGCCTGCAGAGCCATCCAGCTCAACATCTCCAGTGAGGATACGGCCCGTGTGACCAGTTTGCCCCAGTCTGTGTCTAGTGGACAGTTATCCACGTGGCCAAAGCAGCTCACCCGGCTGGTCCCCGAAGGCTGCTGTGGTTTGCATGGCGTGTCCTGGAGCAGTCACTCTGAGGGGAGCTGCCCCACTGTGCCAGGAGCAGGTCCCTCCATGCTCCGCCACCCTGTGACCTCAGGGAGGGTGGCCGGCTCTTGGGCTGCCATGCGACACGTGTCCTCTGAACTACATGAAAGGAATAATCTGAACGAATGTACCTCTGACCTTAACCCTCCCTCGCGTGCCTTCATTTTGCAGTCTGCTCGACAGGGACAAGCCAGGTGTACAGGAGAATGGGTTGTGAGATGAATTCAGGGCTTCCCTGCCGGGGAAGTCTTCTGGCTGGGTGTCTGCTGTGGTCCCAGGGGCATGAGGCTGCATCAATACTGCCTTCAGCATGCTTGAGCTGAGCTTGAGCTGAGCCGGGAGCCTGCAGCGCTGAACGCTCAAACCAGCTGAGCCCAGCTTTGCTCAAGGGCAGAGCTCAAGGGCTCCCTCCTCTCCAGGGTCGCTTCGCTCCAGCCCTGAGCCAAGGCAGACCACCTCCAGCGTGAGAGCAGAGGAGAGCTGCAGGCACCCATGGCCAGGCTTGCCTGGGCTCACCTTGCAGCGCGGGTGCAGCCGAGGAACCCCCGGGGGCTGCTCTGCCATATGCTGGGAAGGTATGGGAAGAGCAGGTCATGCCCTGTGCTATGGATCTGTACTCCCAAATGCTTTCTCCTTGATTAGACGTGTCCCTCTCAGCGGGCATTGGAGACTTTCCTAAGAGCCTGCAACGGGCAGGTTTTGTTTCTACCTTAAGCGTAAAGCAAATTTCTGCCTCGGGGCTCCGTAGGACTGGATGTGGATCCCTGTGGTTCCCCGTGTCAGAGGGAAATACTTGGCTGTACACGCCTCTGAGCCTGAATGTCTTAAGTTATTTATAAATATTTTTAAATTTAAGTACCAAATTCTATATTTGATGGACTTGAGGCCTGATTCTGCATGCTTATTTTGAGTGGTACTCCCACCAAAACCCACAGTATTTCCGGAAGGGAAGGATTTACCAGCCCACAGTTTCTGGTTTTGTTAAACGTGGCATTTCATATTAAAGCAGTTCATTGCTTTTCCTCCCACCCCTTGCTTGCAGCCTGAAAGGATCTTTTTGATTTCTCTAGTGCTTACCAGAAAACTTCAGCTGAGATTTGGGAGCAGATTCCCTAAGGGACCTCTCCGTGCAGGAATGCTGTAGGTTCAGATTCATTGACTTAAAAAAAAAAAAAAAAAAAATTTACCTTGTTTCTCCTTTGGTTTTGGCCAAATTTCTTCTTGGAAGATACCTTAGAGCCATGTTAAGCTTCTGAATAGCTGGGTTTATAGTGAAAATACTGACAGCCTTTTAATTGCAGCCACACTAATGGGTGCCACTGAGCTAAGCTGAGCTACTTATTGGGGGTATTAAGAGATAAAGATACAACTGCCTGATGAATTTGAAAGAGAATATAGGATCAGTGTGGTCTGATAGGGAGCCAGAGAGATAAGAAAGTTGTTTTGTTTTGTTTTTTTTTTCTCCTTCTGTGCTTTTTCTCCAACAGCCTGGTTGCTACCAGAGGTACAACCCTGGATCTGGGGTGCTGCAGTGCTGCAGAGCCAGGACACACAAACGCTGCTGGGAAGCCTCTTAAAATCAGCGGGTAAAATGGGGAAGGCACACAGAGAAATGCAAACCAGGCTTGCCAAAGAGGCCCGAGGCCATGCAGACATCTCTGCCAGCCTCATCCCTCATCCAGCCTGAGCAGATTGTTTGCACGGCCTTTTCTATAGCAACGTAAGAAAAAAAAAAGGTGATGGTTTTCTTTTAACATCTTCCCCTGCGGTTCAGTATTGCAGATCAGGAGCACAAGGAGTGAGTTCTGGTTCTCTTTGCTGGTTGCACCGTTTCTTGTGGAAGAGTTGATGAGTTTAAGCCACTCACGTTGGAAGCAAGGCAGCTTGGCCACCCCTTGGCTCTGCAAGCTGGGAAATTTGGAACTAAGGTCTTCAAAGGAAAGTCAGCGTCGCTGGCTGTGCCTTTGTAATCCAGCTAACACTTTGGTGGGCTGTCCGGATTATCCATCTCTGTAAACTGGCTAAATTAAATATTTGAAGTACATTTGAGGCTTAGGTTTCATTATGTTCTTACCTCTTGGTGAAGTATTGAAACCGTTTTACATAGCTGTACTATTGTTTAGTTTTTTGTTTGTTTAAGCAGCCTTGCCAAAGCTTGCTGTCTGAGAGTTTTTTCTTACGGAAAGACCTAAAAAAAAATAAAGGCAGCGAACCATTTGCACACTGTCTGATTTTCCTTGGAATGCAGAGGTGCTCGTTTTCCTGATCAATAAAGGACGGGCAGAGCTTGAGTATATTTAGTGTGACTGACTCCTTAGGGGTGGTGAGAGGGCAGAGAGGCTGTGCTGGAGATTCTCACAGCAACCTTGTGTGTGCTCGTGTGTTGGACCTCAGAGTGCATCAGCTACATCTTCCCACTTGTTTTGGAAAAGTGACTGAAAAGCAGAGCTGTGGTCAGTCCAGCATCAGGAGACATGGTCCAGTATCAGTTAGAGTAAGAACACAAGCAAAGCAGGTCTTGGGTCAGGTGGGAGAGACCCCCGCAGACAGATCGCCTTCCGCCTGGGGATTGGGCTGAAAGGGACAAAACACAAACATTGTCAACTTTTTCGCATCCTCGCTGATAGGTTCGAGCAGATGCCAACAGAGGGAGCTGTTAGATTTGGGATGTGGCAGCTCCGGGCCGGCCGAGAGCTGCAGAGCCTGGCACAGCTGGCACAGCTGGCACAGGTACTGTGGCTGGTGCGGATGGTTTGGCTGGCACAGCTGGCACAGCTGGCACAAGTCCTATGGCTGGTGCGGATGGTTTGGCTGGCACAGCTGGCACAGCGGGGCAGTGAGCAGAGCCCAGGCCCCAGCGTGGAGCAGCCCTGGCTGGTGGGTGTCACCGCCGGAGCCTGCACTGGGCAGCCCCAGGACCTGCTGTCCCGGCATCTGCTTTCCCTTTTCATTTGGCGATTGTACAGTGAGTAGGGGTGGGGCGGGAGGAAAAGTTTGGGAGTACATTTTAAAAGGAGAAATAACCACTGAAGGAATTTTTAAACCTCATCTGTAGGGGAGTGTAATCAAGAAAAACATCTTTAAGGATTGCAGAGTCCACTAATTTGCTCCTCAATATGTTCAGAAAAAAAAAAAAAAGGAACATGGAACTTTGTGGTATGAAAATGATGCTGAAGGTAATTTAGCAGAATGCAAGTTGCCCTCATCTTCTGTCCTTTTGCTCCTCTTGCAAAGGAACAGACAACCTCTGACATACACGCTTGAGCTCTTTTGACCCGAAAAGCTCTTAAGAAGCCACAGACCCACCTTAAACCCTGCCCTGGTCTTCTTCCCGCTATCCTGCAGCTGGGTAAAGCCTGAGAGAAAAGATCGAGCTCTGCCACGTTATTGTGTGGGTCCCAGGGCTGCCCTGCCTGAAGGGCTGGCTCCCAGCTATCCAGCCTGCCCCCAAAACTCAGCGATGGGGACGGTGTGAAAGGGACTGGGCTTAAAGGCTGATTAATCACAGGTACGTTGTGTTGCTGCTCTGGGCTGGAACTGATGGGTCGGTTTGCATTTAAATTCTTTGGGACGTATTCAATAGCTGGCTCTAGAGCATTGGAAGGATACTGGTTTATTGCAGTTTGCATAACACTAAATCAATAAACACATTCGAGCAGATGGAAAGCAAAACACAGGAGAAGAATAGCACTATTTGGAGGAGAAAAGAAATAGCAAGGAGCGCTTCTCGCTGCTACTTTTCGTCTTGAAAGCACAAGCAGATGCTCTCACAGCGGAGACCTGCTCTAACATCAACCTGCCAGCTCCCTGGGGCGGGGACATGCCCCAAAGACACCTCCGTTCTGCAAAGGGCACCCCGCACCGTAACAAGCAAAATATCACCATTTATTGCAGCCGTGACCTACTGCGTGGCACATAATGAGGAATTTTCCATTTCAAACTTTAATGCAATAATTAAGATGTCCATTAAGGTCTTTACAGTTTGACTGCTTGTAATTAAACATGGGGGTGATGGTGGGGTGGGGGGGCAATGGCAGGGAGTTGCATCACGCTCCTGCCAGCAGCTTTAAGTGCTCTCTCTTTTTTTCTTCCCTGTTTTGTTTCTTTCTTCAAAATGCTTTTCTGGGTTTTATTTCTGACTGTCATCAGAGCAGGTGGCCTGAAAAACATGTGAAAAACAGTCTTCGTTCCCACAAGTACAACTTGGTTTTAAAAAAGAGCTTTTCCCCTCTACCAAGACACCTCCAAAATACCAGTGGTCCTGGGCTGCAGTTTTTTGGGGGTGTCTCTGAGCAAGGAGATCCTTGGGGCATCACCTTGAGCCAGGCTGCCCCTGTCAACGGCCCTGCAGCAGCTCAGGGGACACGGCGTGAGCCAGGACAGCCGAGCTCCATCGGCCAAGAGTCACGGGAATAACCCAACAGCCCAGCGAGACTGTCAGCTGCAGGGACAGTAACCGGGGTTTTCTGCTCCAGTTGGTTTCCAGACTGGTATAAATCCCTGCTTACACAGTTCCTGATGCAGGATTAAGGGTGGGGTAGGTCTTAATCCAATAATGAAAAGAGAAGAAACCCCCATATAAACCCACATCTTCCAAAGTATCTCTGCTCCTGGGAGGCCAAAGTCCCATCATCTAGTAAAAGGATTTGGCCTCCTAAAGCAGCACTGAAATACTTGTAAAATTTTTGTTCCCAAATCACCAGGTTTTTGCAAAGGATTAACAAAAAATAATGATTTGACTGAGGAAGTAGCTGCCAGAGAAGCTTCAGCTGATCCCTTGAATCCTTTCCCAAATTGCTTTCCCCTGCTCCACACAACAACCGATTTACGAGTGACTTGCTCCTGTTCTTTCAAACACAGCGCTGGGCACGATCTCCTGGCACTTTGGCATTAATTATTCTCTAATAAATTGTTTTTAATTTCAGCTCCAAAGGAAAAAAAAAAAAAAAATCTCACTTCCATGGGAGACAATGGAAAGGTACACGTGTAGCAATTATCGGTAGGATTTTACACAAAGAATTAGCAACATACTCGCGCATGTCCTGCGTTCTCATTAAAGACAAACCGTTTGTGGTTGACAGGGGATTTTCCTGTGCAACTATTTAGGCTCGTTGCAGCTGTTAAATTCCTTTGATGTCGTTTTTTTTTTTTTTTTCCCCTCTCTCCTACCAAGTCTCAGACAAACCCACTCATTTACAATCTCTCCCGCGTACCGCCATGAGGTACAAGTGAGTTGGACGCATTCGTGAGACTCATCCCCAGCCCTTCAGATGCCCGGAGCTGGTATGTGCCTGGTCACGGTTACCTTTCTATGCTTTTGCTCTTATTTTGCCCCAGACGAGACAAACGATGGCTCGTGCTGGTAAACCCGGTGTCACAAACTGCCCGGCTGCAGTCGCCTTCGTGTGATTTTGCTGCTGCAGCCAACCTGCTCCTCAAGTGCAGGCAGCTCTGCTCTGCCTCCTCCAGCACCTCCAACTCCTCCATCCCATAGTCCAACCCTCTCCCCGACCCTCTCCACAAACCCAGTTAGCGGGTTTGGGGGAGCAGACAAGGCCCTACATGTTCCCAAGGTTCATGGGAGAGAGGACGTGCCCTCTTCTTCTGTACCCCAGACCCTGGGGTATATATTTAGCAAAATAACCCCCCTAAACAAATCAAATTATCAGCAAGAGCATAATCAGCTATCACAGAGAAGGTCTTCAGATGAGTAATTTATTATGATCTGGTTTATTTATTTTTATTTCAGCCCATCTGGGGCACAACTGTGCTTTGAAAAGGGCTGGAGGCTGCAGTTCCCACTGCAGGAGACACCTGGACCGGCAAGAGCCCAGTGTAAAAATTCCGTCCTTGCAATTTCATTTTACAGAAACCTCTAAGTAGGACACGCTCTGCAACAAAGTGGGTGACCCGAGAAATGTTTGCACAGCCCTGGGCTGTCCTTCCAGGAGAGCCAATGCTGGTGGGAGACAGGCTGTTCTGCACCTGGACACAAAGGTTCAGATCCAGGGACCATGACAAACCTTTTCAGAGGGGCACGTGTTTTCTGGGGATTTTATGTCTGGAGTCAGCTGGGAGTACGAAATTCAAATTTAACTCATTTATTACTTAAATGATGTTTGTTTGTTGTTTGTTTTTTTTAACTGTATGCTCTGGGGAAAATTTTGATTCACCTCCAAATCAGATTTTTTTCACGGTTCTGTGATGAGCTAAGTGAAAAGCTTTATGTCACCAAACTCTGGACGCAGCACTTCATCCTTTGAGCTCTGTAAAAGGCCAAGTGATCACACTCAGCACCCTCAGATCATTCCAATATTTTCAGAAATGCGCTGTGTAATTTTGATTCCTGTTAGGATAAAATCACTGAAATCCAGAAACAGAGAGCCTTGAGATAGACAAACTCTTCCCGGCAGGTTTTGGAAATCTTTCATGATAGCTTGAGGTTGAAAAATAGGAACTGTTTGGGGAGAGCTAGAAGATAAACATGCCTGGAACCAGCTGTATTTTAAAGGGTTTAGGATAGAAACCATGCTTAAAACAGCATCATTAAGATGTATTACCCACAGGTTTAAAGGATACGGATAAAGCTGTTCAGGATGGAAACTGAACCAGATTCACCGTTGTTTCAAAACCAGATACGCTAATACACACACAATTATATCCTGAATTTGCCACGGTAGTTAGCCTGGCTGAGACCTGCCTGTGTGGGCTGTGTCTGCGTGCTCTGTCACAGCTAAAGCACGCACGGAGCAGACACATGAAAATCTGGCTTGTAAACGTAACACCAAGGTAATGCAATTTGGGGTATTACTGGTTGGTTTCGTTGTTCGGATCGAGAGGGGGTTAAGGCTGACAGCTCAGATAGGGCATCCGCCTCCAGGAGTGTCCCGGATCACTGGAAACCAGGAGGGGATTTGTTTTAGCACCCACCCTTTTCTGTAAGAAAATGGCATCTTTTGGCATTTCTTGGGGTTTCTGCGTTTGTAGGTGAATCGTTACCACTGGGCTGGTGCGAACATGTCACCACTCTCAGCAAAGACACCGTTTTCTCCCTTTTCCTTAAATGCAGCGCCAATTTTTATCCTCTTCTGAGGGTGTCTTTTCATCCTCTCTCCCTCCTCCTCCTCCTCCTCCTCCTTGGAGATTTCTGGATTAAAGAATAAAGCACTGAATTGATT